TTAAGCACCTCCTGATTCTTTCATATTATTACTATAGTTAATCTGTCTTGCCATGTTAAGGACCATCTGATTCTTTCATATTATTACTATAGTTAATCTGTCTTGCCATGTTAAGGACCATCTGATTCTTTCATATTATTACTATGGTTGATCTGTCTTGCCATGTTAAGGACCTCCTGATTCTTTCATATTATTACTATAGTTAATCTGTCTTGCCATGTTAAGCACCTCCTGATTCTTTCATATTATTACTATAGTTAATCTGTCTTGCCATGTTAAGGACCATCTGATTCTTTCATATTATTACTATAGTTAATCTGTCTTGCCATGTTAAGCACCTCCTGATTCTTTCATATTATTACTATAGTTAATCTGTCTTGCCATGTTAAGGACCTCCTGATTCTTTCATATTATTACTATAGTTAATCTGTCTTGCCATGTTAAGGACCATCTGATTCTTTCATATTATTACTATAGTTAATCTGTCTTGCCATGTTAAGGACCATCTGATTCTTTCATATTATTACTATAGTTAATCTGTCTTGCCATGTTAAGCACCTCCTGATTCTTTCATATTATTACTATAGTTAATCTGTCTTGCCATGTTAAGGACCATCTGATTCTTTCATATTATTACTATAGTTAATCTGTCTTGCCATGTTAAGGACCATCTGATTCTTTCATATTATTACTATAGTTGATCTGTCTTGCCATGTTAAGGACCTCCTGATTCTTTCATATTATTACTATAGTTAATCTGTCTTGCCATGTTAAGCACCTCCTGATTCTTTCATATTATTACTATAGTTAATCTGTCTTGCCATGTTAAGGACCATCTGATTCTTTCATATTATTACTATAGTTAATCTGTCTTGCCATGTTAAGGACCATCTGATTCTTTCATATTATTACTATAGTTAATCTGTCTTGCCATGTTAAGGACCTCCTGATTCTTTCATATTATTACTATAGTTAATCTGTCTTGCCATGTTAAGGACCATCTGATTCTTTCATATTATTACTATAGTTAATCTGTCTTGCCATGTTAAGGACCATCTGATTCTTTCATATTATTACTATAGTTAATCTGTCTTGCCATGTTAAGGACCTCCTGATTCTTTCATATTATTACTATAGTTAATCTGTCTTGCCATGTTAAGGACCATCTGATTCTTTCATATTATTACTATAGTTGATCTGTCTTGCCATGTTAAGGACCTCCTGATTCTTTCATATTATTACTATAGTTAATCTGTCTTGCCATGTTAAGCACCTCCTGATTCTTTCATATTATTACTATAGTTAATCTGTCTTGCCATGTTAAGGACCATCTGATTCTTTCATATTATTACTATAGTTAATCTGTCTCGCCATGTTAAGGACCATCTGATTCTTTCATATTATTACTATAGTTAATCTGTCTTGCCATGTTAAGCACCTCCTGATTCTTTCATATTATTACTATAGTTAATCTGTCTTGCCATGTTAAGGACCTCCTGATTCTTTCATATTATTACTATAGTTAATCTGTCTTGCCATGTTAAGGACCATCTGATTCTTTCATATTATTACTATAGTTAATCTGTCTTGCCATGTTAAGGACCTCCTGATTCTTTCATATTATTACTATAGTTAATCTGTCTTGCCATGTTAAGGACCATCTGATTCTTTCATATTACTATAGTTGATCTGTCTTGCCATGGCATGGCAGATTAACAAAAGTAATATGAAAGTATCAGATGGTCATTATCTTCTTTCTGAGTATTATCAGAGACCATATAATAGAGGGACGGCCCTCTAGCCTATGCGCGAAACCATCAGTGCTACGGCTTGTACTGCGCAGCCTGTCCGGAAGCGAGCAGAAACGCGTTCACTGCAGTCATCATTGTTGCCTTTTTTTTCACATGCAAAAGATATATTTCACAATACAAAATTACACTCATGTATTTCTTAACATTGTTAACATTACAACTGAGATTTGTTGGTGCCCTAAAGCATGTCGTTGTCACTGTATTTGATGACTGTGATCACGCTTTGTCTTTGTCCGAGAGAACAAAATGGCGCACATGTAAAATCGGCAAAAGTGCAGATTTTGATTTTCAATAACGGCCTCTAATTCGCAATGAAAGTCCTTGGTTACCAAGGTGTATAAAAAGGAGATATGTTAAAAATTGGCTTAGTGCCATTAACAAATTTAGGGCGGATGCGAAATTTCAGATTTTGACTCCAGAAATGGGACTAAATCTGAATTTTCCCGAAATAATTACACCACAACTCTTAAGTTTCGCATGCTTTCAGACGAATGTGTTCCTATTATCGGTCCTGAATTAAATAGTTTTACATTCATCACGATTTCCCCTTTGGCTTGGTACCAAAGTTATTTAGGTACAATCGGTAGTTTTTTTTGTATGATTTTTGGCGCAAGGCCATATTTTACGTCATATATTTTAAGTTAAATTACCATATAGCAGACGACATAACATGCGTTTTGTCTGTGATTATCATCCGCATATATCTTTTGAAACATTCTACAAAGTGACTTATATTGTATGATATTAGAATTGTTTTTGTAAGACGCGTATTTTTTTTTACCATTGCTTTCGCCATTTCTTTGTAAGTTTAACTTTGTTTCAGTTAGGCTTCTATCACATATTGCGCATATACTATATACGGCAATACTACATATTTGTTATCTTCTGTAGATTTTGTCTGTATAAATCATGACTACATTTAATCAATTATTTATTTTATGCCGTGTAAATATTGATTATGAGCCAAATTATCTTAGCCTAAACCCAATCATAATAATGTAAATATGATGAAGGTACTACTTACTTTGTGTATTTACACAACAATGAAAACATCATACAAAAATAAAAATCTGTTACATGAAATATTTGTATAATAAAATTATCATTTGCTTTGTAAATGCCAAGAAAGAAGAAGGACTATATCGGCAGTTCCAGACAACAGGGTCGAAGGTGTCATTCAGTAAAATATATAGATGGCCTATTGTCCTTTTCTATGAAAAATACATTTACATATGTCAGAGTTTGTAATGTTTTGTTTTGTTTTAATAGTAATAGTTGCATGCCTCGTTCCAGGTTAGAGTTTAAAGTTTGTTTTTCATTGATCAGATATAGAAAACTATGATGAAACAATTTTGAAAACTACAAACGTTACTACAGTTTACGATATACTAGTACATATCTGGTACCACGCTCGTTGAAGCTATATTGTTATACCTGAAATACCTAATTATTTGTATGCTGAAATATCAATCTAATCGGGTAATATTAAATAACGATTGTAAAATTAGAATCGTCCTCTTTGCTTTGGAATTTAACAGTAGCCTCCCTTTGAAAAAAACTTACCTCGCTCCGGCAAACCCCATTATCACTGCTAGCCCCAAACTGGCATTAACCAATAACATTTGATTCTTTCGAAGCCCATTGTCGGACACATCGAAAATTCATTTAACAACGCTCGTAGTTTAATGTGTATTTTTAATTCATTGGAACTATTAGCATTATAAAATAGTAGCGAATTTACATGAAATAAAAACATTAATATGGCATCATTGTTTTTCTGGCTAATAGTAAAGCATTTACACCAGTCCGTGATCATGCATTTTTGCAAGTAAATCTAGTCTGGACTTATTATAAGATATGAAGTTAATCTGGAGATATATTTTGTGAACATCGGGAATATGGTGATATGTTACAAGTGTCTTCCCTGCTTCTGGATGAGTTTTATTTACACTTCCTTAGTTCCTGTGCAATTTACCGGATCGTAGTTTTCAATGGCGTTCGTAGTAGATTTGGTATATTTGTTTATTTATAACAGTAAACAATTGCAGCATAAAATGAGATATATTAACTGATTTTTAAAACAAATAGAATACGTTATAAAATACTTTTGATATCGGAACAGCTTTTTCTTCACACGCCCTCGAAAACTTACGCTTGTGGACAGACGTCATATTTTCATTTCCTATCTTTTTCTTTAAGTGAAACTTTTTGGGAGGTATTACCAACGGCTTGGTAGTGGTAACATCACTGTCATTCTATTTAGACCAAGAGTCATCCGAAACCAACCCCTGGTCGAAGAGTGGGAATTCTTCAAGTGGCATATCTAGGTCCAAGACGAAATCGTCCAAGTGAATGAAGTCGTCTATGGCTGTGGCAAATGTAAATTGAAATAAATGTCCCGGAAGACACACATGTTCAGCAAATAATTTGCAGCCAACTGACATGTGCTAATGAGAGATATCATAAAAAAATCTTTGTAATCCGCTAAGAGAAGTCCTTTTATTGGATTGTCGCTGGTCGAGTCGGAGAAATCTCGGCTAAGGGAATTAACTCTTACCCCGGATATTATATAATATTGTTTACGTGGTTACCAGAATGGTCAGTCGTGAATGTCTGCGCATCTATTGCGCATCTGCAGCGGTACAGGGAGGTTAACAGCAGGGTGTCAGGGTGTATCAGTTACATGCCAGACCATAGCGCTGATGGTTTATGACAAACTGTTGGGGAGGGCCGTCCCTCTATTATATTGTCTCTGGTATTATACATCAACAATGGCAAAATTAATAGCAGATTGTCTTGTCAAGGTGTGAAGTTACATTAGGATCAACTTGCACACAAAGGCAGCTAGGTATTACCAGTTAATGTTTTGTTTGTTGTTTAACACAGCACTTAGCTATATAACGGCTGGGGGGGGGGCTATAAATAATCGAGTCTAGACCAGACAGTCCAGTGATTGATATCATAAGTATCTATCCACGCAATTGGGATACGATGACATGCATCAACCAAGAAGGCGAGACTGTCCACCTAGTCCTGTTAGTCGCCTCTTACGACAAACAGTCGCTTTTTACGGCAAGCATGGGTTGCTTCGTTAATTGCCATGACAGTTTTGTTGATTAACAAAAGCAAGCAAGCATAGACAAGCCAATTATAATAATCAGGTTGAACTATGTGACAGGATAAAGTTACCTGCAGTAGTTCTTCATGTCCGCCTGACCCAGTCTGAGCCTGACCAGACAGCGGAGGGCTGTGAGGGTCTGCTGGTGGTCTGCACTGTGTGTGATGAGAAAGTCCAGGGCCATACAGGCCGTGTCACAATGGTTCTGCTGCAGTTAGATAGTCAGGTGGGGTAATGACAACGTGGTAGACCACAGGACAAACAGTAACAAACAAACTCGCAGACCGTCGGTTAATGGTCCTGTGGGTAGACTAACATACAGTGCCCAAAAATGTTATTAATGAGGCAGCATTAGAAATTGGCACTCATCCTATGGTCCTTGCCAAATTACCCAATAGTTAAGGTATCTTAAGGACTAGTAAAACTTTGCCATTTTTAAGGGTTTTGCTATATGTTATCATTATAAGGACTGGTAGACTTAAACAGTTAGTTTCTATCACTGTGAGGTTATATGAAATAATCACACGCACACGTGCACCAGTATCAAGGAATGGGGATGTTTTACCAGGTACTGGCTGAAGCAAAAATGATTGAATACTGTAAACATGGTACCTGTGAACAGATATCGTAACCTATTTTCATTACCTCCAGAGCCATTTGAGCTGCAAGACAGATGAGACCGAAGGCTTGAGACTGGCTGACATTTGGCCCATCCTTACCCCCAGTCACCATCTTCTGTAGACTGGAGCTGGCTGAAACATATACATCAGCAGCCATGATCTGAGCTGCAACTGTGTGCTTGCTGTGATATACCAGTACAATAAAGTATGATTACAGCAACCAGCCCCGTGAAGATCCGGGGTAGAATAGGTCTTCAGCAACCCATGCTTGCCGTAAAAGGCGACTATGCTTGTCGTAAAAGGCGACTATCGGGATGGGGTGGTCAGGCTCGCTGCCTTGGTTGATGCATGTGATCGATCCCAATTGCGTGGATCGATGCTCATGATATTAATCACTGGATTGTCTGGCCCAGACTCGACTATTTACAGACAGCCATCATATAGCTGGAATATTGCTGAAAACAAAACAAAACAAACCAACAACCAACCAACTACAGCAACCATGGATCTGAGCTGCAACTTTGTTTTCTTGCTGTGATATACCAGTACAATAAAGTATGATTACAGCAAGCATCTGAGCTGCAACTGTGTGCTTGCTGTGATATACCAGAACAATAAAGTATGATTACAGCAAGCATGGATCTGAGCTGCAACTGTGTGCTTGCTGTGATATACCAGTACCATTAAGTATGATTACAGCAAGCATGGATCTGAGCTGCAACTGTGTTTTCTTGCTGTGATATACCAGTACAATAAAGTATGATTACAGCAAGCATGGATCTGAGCTGCAACTGTGTGCTTGCTGTGATATACCAGTACAATAAAGTATGATTTCAGCAAGCATGGATCTGAGCTGCAACTGTGTTTTCTTGCTGTGATATACCAGTACAATAAAGTATGATTACAGCAAGCATGGATCTGAGCTGCAACTGTGTGCTTGCTGTGATATACCAGTACAATAAAGTATGATTTCAGCAAGCATGGATCTGAGCTGCAACTGTGTTTTCTTGCTGTGATATACCAGTACAATAAAGTATGATTACAGCAAGCATGGATCTGAGCTGCAACTGTGTGCTTGCTGTGATATACCAGTACAATAAAGTATGATTTCAGCAAGCATGGATCTGAGCTGCAACTGTGTTTTCTTGCTGTGATATACCAGTACAATAAAGTATGATTACAGCAAGCATGGATCTGAGCTGCAACTGTGTGCTTGCTGTGATATACCAGTACAATAAAGTATGCTTGCTGTGATATACCAGTACAATAAAGTGTGATTACAGCAACCATGGATCTGAGCTGTAACTATGTGCTTGCTGTGATATACCAGTACAATAAAGTGTGATTACAGCAACCATGGATCTGAGCTGCAACTGTGTGCTTGCTGTGATATACCAGTACAATAAAGTATGCTTGCTGTGATATACCAGTACAATAAAGTGTGATTACAGCAACCATGGATCTGAGCTGTAACTGTGTGCTTGCTGTGATATACCAGTACAATAAAGTATGATTACAGCAAGCATGGATCTGAGCTGCAACTGTGTGCTTGCTTTGATATTCCAGTACAATAAAGTATGATTACAACAACCATGGATCTGAGCTGCAACTATGTTTTCTTGCTGTGATATACCAGTACAATAAAGTATGATTACAGCAACCATGGATCTGAGCTGCAACTGTGTGCTTGCTGTGATATACCAATACAATAAAGTATGATTACAGCAAGCATGGATCCGAGCTGCAACAGTGTGCTCGCTGTGATATACCAGTACAATAAAGTATGATTACAGCAAGCATGGATCTGAGCTGCAACTGTGTGCTTGCTGTGATATACCAGTACAATAAAGTATGATTACAGCAACCATGGATCTGAGCTGCAACTGTGTGCTCGCTGTGATATACCAGTACAATAAAGTATGATTACAGCAACCATAGATCTGAGCTGCAACTGTGTGCTTGCTGTGATATACCAGTACAATAAAGTATGATTACAGCAACCATGGATCTCAGCTGCAACTGTGTGCTCGCTGTGATACATCAGTACAATAAAGTATGGTTACAGCAAGCATGGATCTGAGCTGCAACTGTGTGCTCGCTGTGATATACCAGTACAATAAAGTATGATTACAGCAAGCATGGATCTGAGCTGCAACTGTGTGCTCGCTGTGATATACCAGTACAATAAAGTATGATTACAGCAAGCATGGATCTGAGCTGCAACTGTGTGCTCGCTGTGATATACCAGTACAATAAAGTATGATTACAGCAAGCATGGATCTGAGCTGCAACTGTGTGCTTGCTGTGATATACCAGTACAATAAAGTATGATTACAGCAAGCATGGATCTGAGCTGCAACTGTGTGCTCGCTGTGATATACCAGTACAATAAAGTATGATTACAGCAAGCATGGATCTGAGCTGCAACTGTGTGCTCGCTGTGATATACCAGTACAATAAAGTATGATTACAGCAACCATAGATCTGAGCTGCAACTGTGTGCTCGCTGTGATATACCAGTACAATAAAGTATGATTACAGCAACCATAGATCTGAGCTGCAACTGTGTGCTCGCTGTGATATACCAGTACAATAAAGTATGATTACAGCAAGCATGGATCTGAGCTGCAACTGTGTGCTCGCTGTGATATACCAGTACAATAAAGTATGATTACAGCAACCATAGATCTGAGCTGCAACTGTGTGCTCGCTGTGATATACCAGTACAATAAAGTATGATTACAGCAAGCATGGATCTGAGCTGCAACTGTGTGCTCGCTGTGATATACCAGTACAATAAAGTATGATTACAGCAAGCATGGATCTGAGCTGCAACTGTGTGCTCGCTGTGATATACCAGTACAATAAAGTATGATTACAGCAAGCATGGATCTGAGCTGCAACTGTGTGCTCGCTGTGATATACCAGTACAATAAAGTATGATTACAGCAAGCATGGATCTGAGCTGCAACTGTGTGCTTGCTGTGATATACCAGTACAATAAAGTATGATTACAGCAAGCATGGATCTGAGCTGCAACTGTGTGCTCGCTGTGATATACCAGTACAATAAAGTAGGATTACAGCAACCATGGGTAGGACAAACCATTAGATGTGACAAGCTACTTGATCAGGGATCTGCCTAGGATTTTAATTTAAATGCTATGATATAACTGCATTCAATACAAAAATGATAAACTAGCTTTTAAGACCTCTTTCTCTTTATTATTCCTTCTATCAGTGAATACAAATCCTTTGCAAAGCTACTTTACTTGTAATTACTATTATAATAACCTGAATAGGTACGTTTGTATATCCAGTTTCGGAATTATTATCTGTAGACCTTAGGCACTCACACTCAGACAAGGTTATGAATATGAATAGGACTTATTCTGTAATCTAACCACATGTGGGGACATACAATGATATGAAAAGCAAAACAAGTGTGGTTCACCTGTGTCAAGGGGCAGTCGGGTAGCCTACTGGTTAAAGCGTTCTCTCGTCAAGTCGAAGACCCGGGTACAATTTGTGAAGCCCATTTCTGGTGTCCCCCGCCTTGATATTGCTGCAATATTGCTAAAAGCGGCGTAAAACCGTACTCACTCACCTGTGTCAGGATCACCTTCCGCCAGGGCTATCTTGTAGATGATGAAGTGGGTGTGAGCCTCATCCGGGGCACATTTCTCAGCATGCCGAATTGATTCTTTGGCCTGAATCAGAAAATACATTTTTCCATCAAATGGGACATTTGATCCTCTCAGAGTACTATGTTTAAAAATCTGAGAAAAAAAAGTGTGAATAAAAGTATTACCGTATTCGACGTAATAAGCGCCCTGCTCAAATAAGCGCCCTTGGCGATATTTGCTAATATAATGGCTAGTGAACAATCCCAGTTGGCACCCCTTCCGATTGATCAATGTACACAAGACATATTTATTTGTGTATAATATGCACTCGTGTATTATATGCACACTTATAAATTAATTATGGGCAATTTAATTCTGGAAAATATATCTGTAGTGTATAATACGCACAGACTTTTCTTTTGTATCATTGCAGGCTGTCAGCATAAACCATGAAATGTATAATCTTTCAACTCTGTTTTCTTCAACAAAATAATATTCTAATAAGGACCCCCTATTTTTAATTTTGAGAGCCCCCTGGGCGCTTATTACGTCAAATACGGTAATTACCAATAATGCCTCTACAAATTAAACAATGTCCAAAACATACAATGACTATATCCACTTGTGGTGTCATCAATTTGATTGCCGTCAAAACCCTCATCTTTCTGTTGTTGATCTGTTGTTCCCTGGAGTACATATGCAATGCAGTTTAACAATTACTGTCCTAAATATGTCTGTCTGTGTGTTAATGAAGTGTGGTTATATATTTGCCTGTTCTGGTGTGCAAATTTAAAATTTTAAAATATAAAATAAAATAATCTTTGCCTGGTTTGTGTCCTTAATGATGTAGACCCGTGAAGATTCCGGGGTAGAATAGGTCTTCAGCAACCCATGCTTGCCGTAAAAGGCGACTAACGGGATCGGGTGGTCAGGCTCGCTGACTTGGTTGATGCATGTCATTGATCCCAATTGCGTGGATTGATGCTCATGATATTAATCACTGGATTGTCTGGTCCAGACTCGATTATTTACAGACCACCATCCTATAGCTGGAATATTGCTGAGTGCGGCATTAAACAACAAACCAACCAACCTTAATGATGTAATAAACCTAAACTCTGACAGAGGCGTTTCAATGTCATTTTCATTGTCAAAACAATCCTTATACCAAGCAAGCAATAGTTTAAGGCCTTTCACACCTCAGAGCATAAATTTAATAAAACAATCACCAATTCCATTCCATTCTCGACCCATGAAGATCCAGGGTAGAATAGGTCTTCAGCAACCCACCCATGCTTGCTGTAAAAGGCGACTATATGCTTGTCGTAAGAGGCGACTAACGGTTTGGGTGGTCAGGCTCGTTGACTTGGTTGATGCATGTCATCGTATCCCAAATGCATGGATCAATGCACATGATGTCAATCACTGAATTGTCTGGTCCAGTCTTAATAATTTACAGACCATCATCATATAGCTGGAATATGGCTGAGTGCGGCGTTAAACAACAAACAAACAAACAAACAAGCAAAGAAACAAAGAAACAAAGAAACTATTCCATTCTCATCCCTCTTTCTCAGCTGTAGGAAATTAAGGTTCTTGAGGTACCGGTAACCGTATACTTAACTTTATTTCAGGTACCATATGTTAGTCTATCCAAATGTCTGTTTGTATCTATACTTGGTATATTGTATGAGGCATATGCTGCTGTTTTCCACCGTGATTTTGTTGGCATATTGAAATAAGATTACACAAGAACATACTCTATGAATATCAATATTGAAGTATGTGTCATAGCGACTGATTTACGACACCCATTGTCTGAAGAACATTTGATTGCAAAGGCTCATTACCCTGGAGCCATGACATCTTTATGCCTTGAAACACTTAATTGCTGTTATTTCTAAGATGCATATCCTATTTGTTAATCCCCATTTTTGTGTACATCGACCGTCTGCCATCCTGAACAAGATGTGCAAGTATGTCACTGATGATTTACTGTTTACATTTATTACTTACTAAATGTCAGGTGACCTTGGCTATATAAGCCTTGGTCCAGAGAGGAGAGAAAGAAAGGTCTTACCCTTAGCCTAGCTAGGGTTGGGCTTGGTGCTCTGGGGCACCAAGACAACAACCACAACCACTATGTGCTGACATGGCACAAAGTGTCTTTTGTATGTATATATCTACATGTATAAAGTAAAACTGTATATACCGCAAGCCATCGTCTCCAAGTTGTCACTTCCTACTGAGAACCATATGTCGGCCCCTTGCATATATGAGTATGCAAATTGTTCATTATTCAACGTAACATCGCCAAGCGTTGTTATATGTATGGGCAACTAGTAGGTTTTAGGTGTGACCCCCATAAAGACATGTACCTGTGATAGAAGTCCCTGGTTTACAAAGCAGGAAGCCCTGTTTCTCTGGAGCTTGGCCATGTTGGCGCTGGTCATTTCACTGGGTGAGAACAAGCTGAGGGAGTAGTTGTACCATGTCAGGGCCTCACCATACTCTTTACACTGGAACGCAGAACACATTGATACGAGGGAGCTAACTTCCACAGATTTCATCACTGAGTATCAATCCCAGCAATGAAAGCTGTCCTCTGTTACAGTAACTGAAACCTCCATGCAGTTCCTGCATGATCACAACATGGAACATCGCCTTCGTACAGCGGGAATATTGCTGAGTGCAGCATTAAGCAACAAACAAAGCAATTTGCAACAGTTAAACATTTGGATAAATGTAGAAAAGCTGACTATCATATGGAAACCAAATGAATACAGTGTTCTGTGCTATACATAAGTAAAATTTAATCTGTTGAAACCACACCACATTTATGGTCCAGAATATGCTTTGATAAATAAGAACTTTTCTTTCAACCTTATCTTTATTTCCTATTTCTTTGTCTCCTACTATAATCTCACTAATCCAGACCTCTGTCTTAAAGTTTGGTCCCAAAGAAGTCTTGTTTAGACAGAGATCACACTGTAGGCCCCAAAGAAGTCTGGTTTAGACAGATTATACTGCAGGCCCCAAAGAAGTCTGGTTGAGACAGATCACACAATAGGTCCCAAAGAAGTCTGGTTGAGACAGATTATACTGTAGGCCCCAAAGAAGTCTGGTTTAGACAGATTATACTGTAGGTCCCAAGATGTCTGGTTTAGACAGATTATACTGTAGGCCCCAAAGATGTCTGTTTTAGACAGATTATACTGTAAGTCCCAAAGAAATCTGGTTGAGACAGATTATACTGTAGGTCCAAAAGAAATCTGGTTCAGACAGATTATACTGTAGGCCCCAAAGAAGTCTGGTTCAGACAGATCACACTGTAGGTCCCAAAGAAATCTGGTTTAGACAGATTATACTGTAGGTCCCAAAGAAGTCTGGTTTAGACAGATTATACTGTAGGCCCCAAAGATGTCTGGTTTAGACAGATTATACTGTAGGTCCCAAAGAAATCTGGTTTAGACAGATTATACTGTAGGCCCCAAAGAAGTCTGGTTTAGACAGATTATACTGTAGGCCCCAAAGATGTCTGGTTTAGACAGATTATACTGTAGGTCCCAAAGAAATCTGGTTTAGACAGATTATACTGTAGGTCCCAAAGAAATCTGATTTATTCAGACTATAGGTCCCAAAGAAGTCTTGTTAAGACAGTTTATACTGTAGTGTAGGTCCCAAAGAAGTCAGTTCTTATAGGCTGTTTCTCTCCTCTCTTTAATCACCTGAAGGCAGGGTTTCCGGACTAAAAAGGTGACGATATACCACACAACACCAGAGTTATACAATCAGATGTCATGTTCTCAAGAGCTAAAATATCAGATCTTTACCTCAAAAGCAGCGCCAGCCTGCTCCCAAAACACCAGGTGGAACTGTTTCCTTGTGTTAATGTCCAGTGGCCTACCAGTGTTGTGAGCTAGGGTAACAGAATAAGCAAACAGTAGTACTGCATACTCTAAGTAACAAAAGGTTGGAACACACGGAAGCAGTATGTCAGAGCATATTTTTTTAAAACCCACATTAGAGTGAGTTGAGGTGAAATGAGGTTTAACGTCGCATCCAAGATTGTTGCACTTATAAAACGACCTTCATGTGCATGTGTGTGTGCACAGGGTATGAAACTCCCAAAACTTTCAGCCAGTCCTCAGGACTGGCTACCTGAAATACTTGCCAGCCCTGACCAAAACCCGCCTGCCCACTATAATCATATGTTTCTCAGGATAAGCTTACGGAGTTTCTTTTTGGTTACATTTTATCATTCATCTTTACATGTGAATTAATGCTTATCATCCGGAAATATTTAGAATATTTTCACATATGAAATATAACCCGACCGTCGGGCAGGGGAATTTGAAAATCTGGCAGCCCGAGTTGAAATCAACCCGTCTCGGACGGTCGGGCAGGCAGGTATTTCGAACACTGGTGTGGATGTATGTGTGTGTGCGTGTGTGTGTGTGAGAGAGAGAGAGAGTGTGTGTGTGTTTGTGTGTGTGTCCGCTTGTACTTGTAACGACTGATGACGATTTATAGTCCTAGCCCACTGAGATACCATGCTGCAGTTTAACATGAATACCCCACTCAGACCAGTCCTTGTTATTTTTGTTTAATGTCGCACTCAGCAATACTCCAGCTATATGACGGTGGTCTGTAAATAATCAAATCGAGACCAGACAATCCAGTGATTGACCATCGATCTACGCAATTAGGATACGATGACATGCATCAACCAAGTCAGCAAGCCTGACCCTTTGATCCCGTTAGTCGCCTCTTACGACAAGCATAGTTGCCTTTTATGGCAACTATGGGTTGATGAAGACCTATTCTACCCTGGATGTTAACGGGTTGTTAATGATATTAGACTTATCGACAAAATTGAGGATATTGTTTTTGAATATTGAAGAAATTGACTCTAAGAGAATTAATCTTCATACTCTTGTTGATTAGCAGAGGAATTGTAGTAGTAGACAGTGGAACAAGAACAACCTCTATGTATTCATGTAGACTGACTACTTGATGATATTACTAAATTAAGTCATGGTTTCAATCACTTTCAAATTTCAATCCAATGAAAGTGAAACCTGATTAATCCAGACAGTTACTGTTCTAGTGAGATCGCCAACAAATGTCCAGACTACTGATTTGGCCCTGGAGTCATCCTGTACGTGGATTCTCCTACCAGTAACTGTTCTTGAAGCAGGGTGTCTGGACTAACTCCCCAGTTTCTACAGTTGACATGACTATAGTTTATATACTAGGTCCCAGAGATTGGAACAGCTTCAGCACAGTGTATGTCATTGACTTGACAATGCTTAGAGATACCAGTAAGGTTAAACAGCTTAAACATAATTCACAATACATTTATGTCTCTATATTTTTAATTTGTTATATGCATAACATCCGGAATACTTGCTTGTTATTTTTTTGTTTCCTTGTTGAAAAGAATTTTGGCCACGCAAACTAACAGACGGGAATTTGGCTGATAATAGCAGGGGCATGGCTTGTACAAATGTATTATTGTTCTGAATGATGTCACTGATTATATTTTGTCTCCATTTAATTTGTGTAAATGAGTAAATAAGCAGTCTGGGAAGTTAGTATTATTGATTTATTTACGTGTAAGAACTGACAATATTTTTTCGCATTTATGGAGGTAAATCCACATAGTGTACACACCTGTTTTAATGTTTACACTTTCATAAACGCTAAAATATGTTGAGTCAATTGTTAAAGAAATATCGTTTGGAGCACAATGATCTACCAAGGATTGGGTTGCCAGGCTCGGTGACACTGTTAATAGCATGTCATCATACCAACAGCATGGATCATTGCTCATAATATCAATCACTTGCTTATCTGGTCCTGGTCATACAACTGGAATATTGCTGGGTGCACCGTTAAACAACATAAATACACACACACACACAAACAAGCCAGGAAAATTCCTACCAGTGATGCATTCTTCAGTGAAGAGCTTGGCTTGCTGGGACTGGTCACTCTCCAGTAAGGCCTGGAGCTGAGCGATGAAGATTCGACCAACATCGGGGCACTGCTCAAACCTCCTTCTCAGCTGGGACGGGAAGTCCATGGAATTATCAACACTGTAATACATGTAATATAAGGCATGTTAGATGAGATATCTCAGGTCACAATATTCAGAAATGTTTCTGTATGAGATATTAAGCAAGTAGGTATTCTGGGTCCCATTCCACAAAGCGATCATAGCGCTACGATTGTTGCAAGTCTGTGTTAAAGTATGTGAGTTACGACTGTCTTAGTGCTATGATCACATTGTAGAACAGAGCCCTGGAACAGAACAGATAGGACCCTTGTATCACGCGGTGGGTGTTCTCACGAAGAAGACCTTTTGGTTTCCAGTAAACTACCTTTGATGTGGTTTGTCATGTTAGTAGTCTTGTTTTAAGGCATTAAGACACTGGTAGGTGTAAAAATGTGAAATGTGTTCACTCAGAAACCTAAGTAAGAGATGAATAGGAATTGGGTGTTTACAAGGTATGACCTGTCGTATTGTGTGTCTTCGCACCCTGAACATTTGGCTGGTTGCTCATGCTATCAACCATTGGTTTTATATGCTCGAGGTGAATGGGATCAATTGTACAATTTATTGACTTTGGAATATGAAAAAAAGAACAAACAATAATTATTACCTTTTGTGCTGCTTTAGCAACTGTAAAACACTTAGTCCCAGCTCTAGGGTGCAGTCTGAGTGCTTAATGATGTCATCCAAAACTGAACAAGAGTTTGTAGATTTAATACAAATACAACAAAAAAGAAGTGAGCAAAGCTCACATACCCCCGTTATCCCCGCTGGACAACAACAAGTAGTAAATAGTTTGTTAATTAATGAAATATTACATATTTCTAACTGATTTTAACTTCAATGTTTTAAAAACTAAGATTGATTTCCAGTGACAACTGACCACCCCCCCCCCCCCCCCCCCCCATCCCCCAAATCTCCCATGTTACCAGTGTTCACTACGAGGAAGTAGATCAACATGAACACCTTTGAATAATAATTATATTGAGGAGTTACAAAAGAAGAATTATCAAAAGGACCAAAAATTGTTGATATAAAAACACATAAAAAAATGGAACAATATCATATAAGAAAATCAATAAATTAATAATTTCCATCTAGCCTTAACAGATATGGTAAAGAATTCATAAATTCAAACTAACACAAAGCACAGATACTTATGATGAACTACATGTATGGAAACAATTTTGGAAAATATAGTAGCTATACAAAACCAGTCATCAAAATTTCTAAATTCCCTTATGTTTCCATGAAAACAGCAAAAGAGAAAATTTTCAGAATCTTATAAAATATAAAAAACAATCATAGTGGTTAATGAAGCAAGTTTGCTGAAGCTAGGATACATAATATTGTAAACATGGATCGTACAAAAACTACCCAAAATTTAACTTTCACCATGATTCCATGGAAACTGCAAAAATAAAAAAATTCAGAATCTTCAAACTAGCAAAAGGCACAAGTACTCATTGTGGTAAATGTGTGTAGCAAGCTTGATGAAGCTAGGATGCATGGTTAAAAAGATATGGGCCGTACAAAACACCCACCCTAAAAGTTTAAGTCTCTTAATGTGTCCATGGAAACGGCAAAAATTCAAAATTCAGAATCTTCAAACTAGCAAAAGGCACAAGTACTCATTGTGGTAAATGTGTGTAGAAAGTTTGGTTAAGCTAGGGTGCATGGTTAAAAAGTTATGGGCCGTACAAAAGCTCGGACGGAAGGACAGACAAACGGAACGCTATATACCCCCGATTTACTTCTTAAACAGGGGTATAATTATTTATTATGTATTTAGGAAGAAACATTTACATGGATCTGAAAATATCAAATCAACATTTCTCTGGAGTTAAATCTTTGAGTAGTATTTAGAAGGTTTTATATGTAAGTGATAGTGATGTTTTGGTGTAGAATAGAACACCTTTATCAAGCAGGTGATATACAAAATACCTCAGTGAGTACCCCCTGGGGACCTTGGGTACTATTTGTCCCCACCTGCCCACTGCTGGTCGAAAGAAGCGACTAAATTGGGGAGGTGTGGGCTAGACTTGGTCCTCAAGAACCCATGCTGGTTGTAAGAGGAGACTTAATGTATCAGGTGGCCAGGCTCGGTGACTTGGTCCCTGGTAACCCATGCTGGTTGTAAGAGGAGACTTTATGTATCAGGATGCCAGGCTCGGTGACTTGGTCCCTAGGAACCCATGCTGGTTATAAGAGGAGACTTAATGAATCAGGATGCCAGGCTCGGTGACTTGGTCCCTGGTAACCCATGCTGGTTGTAAGGAGGAGACTTAATGAATCAGGATGCCAGGCTCGGTGACTTGGTCCCAAGGAAACTCATGCTGGTTGTAAGAGGAGACTTAATGAATCAGGATGCCAGGCTCGGTGACTTGGTCCCTAGGAACCCATGCTGGTTGTAAGAGGAGACTTAATGTATCAGGATGCCAGGCTCAGTGACTTGGTCCCTGGTAACCCATGCTGGTTGTAAGAGGAGACTTAATGTATCAGGATGCCAGGCTTGATGATTTGGTCCCTAGGAACCCATGCTGGTTGTAAGAGGAGACTTAATGTATCAGGATGCCAGGCTTGGTGACTTGGTCCTCAGGAACCCATGCTGGTTGTAAGAGGAGACTTAATGTATCAGGATGCCAGGCTCGGTGACTTGGTCCCTAGGAACCCATGCTGGTTGTAAGAGGAGACTTAATGTATCAGGATGCCTGGCTCGGTGACTTGGTCCCTAGGAACCCATGCTGGTTGTAAGAGGAGACTTAATGAATCAGGATGCCAGGCTCGGTGACTTGGTCCCTGGTAACCCATGCTGGTTGTAAGAGGAGACTTAATGTATCAGGATGCCTGGCTCTGTGACTTGGTCCCTAGGAACCCATGCTGGTTGTAAGAGGAGATTTAATGTATCAGGTGGCCAGGCTCGGTGACTTGGTCCCTAGGAACCCATGCTGGTTGTAAGAGGAGACTTAATGTATCAGGATGCCAGGCTCGGTGACTTGGTCCCTGGTAACCCATGCTGGTTGTAAGAGGAGACTTAATGTATCAGGATGCCAGGCTCAGTGACTTGGTCCCTGGTAACCCATGCTGGTTGTAAGAGGAGACTTAATGTATCAGGATGCCAGGCTCGGTGACTTGGTCCCAACGAACCCATGCTGGTTGTAAGAGGACACTTAATGTATCAGGATGCCAGGCTCGGTGGCTTGGACCCTGGTAACTCATGCTGGTTGTAAGAGGAGACTTAATGTATCAGGATGCCAGGCTCGGTGACTTGGTCCCAACGAACCCATGCTGGTTGTAAGAGGAGACTTAATGTATCAGGATGCCAGGCTCGGTGACTTGGTCCCAACGAACCCATGCTGGTTGTAAGAGGAGACTTAATGTATCAGGATGCCAGGCTCGGTGACTTGGTCCCTGGTAACTCATGCTGGTTGTAAGAGGAGACTTAATGTATCAGGTGGCCAGGCTTGGTGACTTGGTCCTCAGGAACCCATGCTGGTTGCAAGAGGAGACTTAATGTATCAGGATGCCAGGCTTGGTCCCTAGGAAACTCATGCTGGTTGTAAGAGGAGACTTAATGTATCAGGATGCCAGGCTTGGTCCCTAGGAACCCATGCTGGTTGTAAGAGGAGACTTAATGTATCAGGTGGCCAGGCTCGGTGACTTGGTCCCTAGGAAACTCATGCTGGTTGTAAGAGGAGACTTAATGTATCAGGATGCCAGGCTTGGTGACTTGGTCCCTAGGAACCCATGCTGGTTGTAAGAGGAGACTTAATGTATCAGGATGCCAGGCTTGGTGACTTGGTCCCTAGGAACCCATGCTGGTTGTAAGAGGAGACTTAATGTATCAGGATGCCAGGCTTGGTGACTTGGTCCTCAGGAACCCATGCTGGTTGTAAGAGGAGACTTAATGTATCAGGATGCCTGGCTCGGTGACTTGGTCCCTAGGAACCCATGCTGGTTGTAAGAGGAGACTTAATGAATCAGGATGCCAGGCTCGGTGACTTGGTCCCTGGTAACCCATGCTGGTTGTAAGAGGAGACTTAATGTATCAGGATGCCTGGCTCTGTGACTTGGTCCCTAGGAACCCATGCTGGTTGTAAGAGGAGATTTAATGTATCAGGTGGCCAGGCTCGGTGACTTGGTCCCTAGGAACCCATGCTGGTTGTAAGAGGAGACTTAATGTATCAGGATGCCAGGCTCGGTGACTTGGTCCCTGGTAACCCATGCTGGTTGTAAGAGGAGACTTAATGTATCAGGATGCCAGGCTCGGTGACTTGGTCCCTGGTAACCCATGCTGGTTGTAAGAGGAGACTTAATGTATCAGGATGCCAGGCTCGGTGACTTGGTCCCTAGGAAACTCATGCTGGTTGTAAGAGGAGACTTAATGTATCAGGATGCCAGGCTCGGTGACTTGGTCCCTAGGAAACTCATGCTGGTTGTAAGAGGAGACTTAATGTATCAGGATGCCTGGCTTGGTCCCTAGGAACCCATGCTGGTTGTAAGAGGAGACTTAATGAATCAGGATGCCAGGCTCGGTGACTTGGTCCCTGTTAACCCATGCTGGTTGTAAGAGGAGACTTAATGTATCAGGATGCCAGGCTCAGTGACTTGGTCCCTGGTAACCCATGCTGGTTGTAAGAGGAGACTTAATGTATCAGGATGCCAGGCTTGATGATTTGGTCCCTAGGAACCCATGCTGGTTGTAAGAGGAGACTTAATGTATCAGGATGCCAGGCTTGGTGACTTGGTCCTCAGGAACCCATGCTGGTTGTAAGAGGAGACTTAATGTATCAGGATGCCAGGCTTGGTGACTTGGTCCCTAGGAACCCATGCTGGTTGTAAGAGGAGACTTAATGTATCAGGATGCCAGGCTTGGTGACTTGGTCCCTAGGAACCCATGCTGGTTGTAGGAGGAGACTTTATGTATCAGGATGCCAGGCTCGGTGACTTGGTCCCTAGGAAACTCATGCCGGTTGTAAGAGGAGACTTAATGTATCAGGATGCCAGGCTCGGTGACTTGGTCCCTAGGAAACTCATGCTGGTTGTAAGAGGAGACTTAATGTATCAGGATGCCAGGCTCGGTGACTTGGTCCCTAGGAAACTCATGCTGGTTGTAAGAGGAGACTTAATGTATCAGGATGCCAGGCTTGGTCCCTAGGAACCCATGCTGGTTGTAAGAGGAGACTTAATGTATCAGGATGCCAGGCTCGGTGACTTGGTCCCTGGGAACCCATTAGGGCTGCAACAATACAGGAAGGTCACGATACGATACGCATCTCGATAATCTGGTCACGATACGATACGTATCTCGATACGCAATGATAAATAAAACAAGACTTAAAGCATGTCAAGATTGAACCTTTCATGATTTTGGAACAGTCAACATTATTTTATAATAACAAGACTACTGAAGTTGTTCAGCGTCAAAGTGGAACTTTCTCTAACTTTCCTTAAAAACAATTCAAAGTTCAAACACCAGAAAATAATTAATGTACTCCACCAGTGATACAACTTCAAAGAATTTTGATGCAATGGTCGAAGAAATTGTATCCGAAATTATTGTTTTATCAGGAATAATATATTCCAATATCGTGATACCTTAGTTGCAGCTTTCATATATATATTTCAAATTATAAGAACCACAAGTGTAGCATTTTGGTACTGGTGTTTGCTGTTGCAGGATATTTATATTGACCAGTCACCCTAGGGACTTCCCGTGCTACATGTATTTCGATTGCGAAAACATTATGTTGACATATATTCGCCAAATTGCCACAAATATGACTTTTAACGAGTCAAAGTACGTCATTTTTAATATATGTATCCATTCTCCAGCAACTAAAGTTCGTTTCAATGTGTCAAAAGCGGTAATCTGACCGTGGTTGCTGTATCTCTTCACACACGATTTCACATAATATAACTTAATGAAAACAGTATTACATGAAATTTTGAATAAAATTGATAAAATATATCACAAACACAAGTCCAGATATATAATGAACACGTTTTAATAACAAGATAGTATAATAATGGTATTGAATTACGTACTTCAGTTCGGATTTGCTGACAGGTATTTCCAGTGTTATGTGCTTGCGGGGATCAGCTGATAATGTTTTTTGAGATGGGGAAAAACATCTGTCGGTGTAAAACCTGAGCTTATTAAAAATGTAAGTATGTTTTGGGGAGCCATGCGTTACCGCGCGCTATAACCAAGTTAGCGGTTTATTGAAAGGCACAATAGCGAGGAAACGCTGTACTTGGGATTTGTGTTCCGTATCGTGGCGTATCGATAAATAGGCCCACGTTTATCGTATATCGTATCGTGGGTCAAGTATCGCGATGCATCGGAATATCGGTGTATCATTTCACCCTTAGAACCAATGTTGGTTGTAAGAGGAGACTTAATGTATCAGGATGCCAGGCTCGGTGACCTGGGGCCTCAGGAACCCATGCTGGTTGTAAGAGGAGACAAATGTATCAGGATGCCAGGCTCGGTGACTTGGTCCTCAGGAACCCATGCTGGTTGTAAGAGGAGACTTAATGTATCAGTAGGCCAGGCTCGGTTACTTGTAGGACAGCATGTCCACGTACCCAGACAATGTGGATCGTTGCTCACAATATCAATCACTGGATTGTCTGGTCCAGATTGGATTATCTACAGGCCACCGTCATACAGGTGGAATATTGCATACACACAGACAGACAGAGAGACACACATATAATTATGCTCACTTACTGACTTTTGGCTTATAAAAATAAAAGAATTGGTTCTCAGACAACGATTTTTGAAAATACAGTGCAGGCGGACAGTGTTTTTTTTTTAGCTTGTAAGAAAATAAACAGTTGTGTACCATCTACCTGGGAAAGGGCCTCCCTACATAAACAAGCATACAAACTCCTATTCCCGCCATGAAAATAACATGGGATGCACAGTAAAGCAGTGCGCATGTAAAGGGAAGTAACTGCGTGCTATATTGGATCGCATTCATTTTAGGTATTACGATTTTGTGTGTGTGTGAAAATGGACATAAAAACGAAACATGTGGCAGACTTAATGATGATGCAGGCGGTGCCTGAGAACCAAGACTATTATTATTTTTAGCCTTATACACAACACTGGCTTCATATGAATTGTATGAATTTAGGAAATGTTAAAGATTTGATTACATATGTCTCTTCCAATACAATATGTTCTCTTTCATCTTGGATTTCATTTCTGACAATCTCTTCTTGGCAGACATAAGTGATACCACCAATTTGCAGACAAACAGACTGCGGGCAAATAACTAGTGACAAGGTAGTATTAATGACACACTTCTTTTTACAATTCTAGCAATGTTCCATGTCAATTCTAACACTGTTATCAAGCACAACTGTACTGACTACAATTGTTACATGAAGTGGATCATCCTTCTACTTTGTAATGAGTTACATATCAGTGAGTGAGTTGGGTTGAATGCCGCTTTTAACAGTGTTCCAGTTATATCGCGGCGTGTCAGTTTAATGTGGGAGGAAAGCCCAAAGTGAAGCAAGTCTCAGACGTTTACCACTTAGGTGAAACCCACGAGCACGGGTATGGTGCTGACAAACCTAGAAATATAATCGTGGTGAACCGGATTCAAACCCACAATCATAGGTTTCTGGCGTGCCCAAGGGACGCAACTCTGCACAGCGAAACGCGGCGCCTTAGACAACTGGGCCACCCGTGCCCCTAGTTACATATCAACTTCTAAATACCACTCAAAGATCATTGGTAGATAAACATTCTATCTCCAGATAAACAGACTATGGTCTTGTCTAAATTGGTCTACACTCAGCAGGCAGAGATACAAATTAGCAGTAGCCTGATAGCCTAAGCAAACTCACCTAATGTGAGTTGGGAGATAGATATACACACTTGTAGAACTACGTGACATGTAGATTTGATGGGGCTGAATTGAATTTTCAAATGTGAACTTTAGCTGGCATTTAGAGGAGCTCATTGTTATTGGTAGTTGATTTCAAGCCCACGAGCAAGCGAAAGTCAGTGATGAGGATGAAGGACCTGGAGCTCCGAAACAAAGCTTTGTTCGGTAATAGGGTCCGGGTAACTACACTGGATAAATGAGGATGCCAGAATGGAGCTGTGATAAACTGGATAAACGAGGATGCTAGTAACACTGAGCACCTGAGAACAATACACAAGAAAACACTTTTGAAATGTTTCACCTGCGGAGACAGGTGCCCCCTTCTCTCCTCCTATGAGCAGTATCCTCAGCTTCAGGTACAGCCCAGCAGGGTGGCAGTGTTCCTGTATAGGTATTCAACATTAGAAATAAAAAACTTCCCTGTTTGCATGGAGAAAGACACAAGTTATGAGTCAGCTAAAATCAATCTCTTAGAAACCTATATTTTACAATGTGACAATATCTTTTTAGAGCTGATGGTCTTCATTTAACATGAAAATAAACTACCGGGCAAAAGAAAGTATATACTTGAAAACTGAACTTGACCAAACAATTACAAATGTTATCTAAACATTACAAGGCTAAAGAAACACTGCAAATTTAAGGTCCAAAAAACAACTATGACACCCGTATCGAATACATTACCATCAAATAACCATTTCTTGTTTGTTTACTTTTTAGCTACCACAAAACAAGGGAGGATACTTTCTTTTACCCAGCAGTTTATGTTTCAGTAAACTATGTAATTGGTGATTACCGGGTATGTAACTGGCAAAACTAGGATCATATAACCGCAAAATGATATTACTTTTAATGTGCACAGATAAGAGAGATATATGCTGAACAAAAAGTTAGGGATCATGAAATATTTTTATATACTGTACACATTTACCAAAACTCTAATGTTCTAATTCAGGATACACAAACTGAAGAAAATACTGACTGCATTTGCCAGAGACACTGCATTCAAGGCCTTCTCAAAGTGTTCTGATGGGTTACTCTCAATGTAGGCATTTGCCAAGAGTCTAAGTGTTCTGGCCTGGAAAGAAAATGCACAGCTGAGTTTAATGAGGTAGCAAAAATAACTAAAACAATTTTTTTAGTGATTTTATTTTTCTTTCCTTGGGTTGTTTCAAGGGGATGTTCAATGGATATGGCAGTTTAATAAACAATAGTGTTAAATAATATAAACTTGTTGGGAGTGCATTCACGTTGATCTCAATATTAAAAAATACATGACATCAATCATTCTGTATTGATGCATAACATTTTAAGAAAACAAAAAAATTCACCATTTAACAGTCTGACTGTCTACAACTAATATTTGTAAATATTTTGGTTTGTAATATTTAGTCTGGATGCAATATGATCATGTGATTATTTTCTTAAAATCAGCTTTTATTACCATTGTTACCTTAAAGTATTGCATTGAATTGTGTAAGAGTTTGTGAATTGGGTGACATATTGGACACTCACCCATTCAGCCACAGCAATCAACCATATGTATCCTATCGTTGACTAGAACATTTCACATAGTTATGGTTTGCCCATATGATATCATTATGCAGGCAAATGCTGAGAAAAAACAACTTTGATAAGTTTTGTATAATTCCACCCTAACATGTACAGTTTTCAAGTGGGGGCACGGGTGGCCCAGTCGTCTAAGGCGCTGCGATTCGCTGTGCAGAGTTGCGTCCCTTGAGCACGCCAGAAACCAAAGATTGTGGGTTCGAATCCCGGTTCGCCCCGATTATGTTTCTAGGTTTGTCAGCACCATACCCGTGCTCATGGGTTTCACCGAAGTGGTAAACGTCTGAGACCTGCATCACTTCGAGCTTTCCTCCCACATTAAGCTGACACGCCGCAATATAACTGGAACACTGTTAAAAGCCGCGTTAAACCCAACTCACTCACTCACTCAGTTTTCAAGTTAGACTTTTAGCAGAGAAGTACCTGGTTTCTAGGCATTACTCCTTTCCTTTCCTTGCTGAGGTCAAAACTTTCTCGGAGCCAGTTGATGGCCTCGTCATGCTTCTTCTTCTGATACAAGTCGACTCCAAAGTTGTAACACAGCATGCTGAGAAACCCACTCTGTAGTGACAAGTACATGACACACATTACTTACCGGAGTTACTAACTAAACAAAATACAAAAGTTTCATATATTTGGCAAGACAACACAGTGGTCATGTGTTTCACAGAATTCTGATCTGAAACACATGAAATTGACCTGTGATCTAAACATACAAATACAACTAAATTTTACAGATTCAAATAAGTATTTGACCATTTTATTTCCTTCTTGTTGTGTTGTGAAAACAAGGCCAGACCTAAATGGTTGGTTGGTTGTTTAACGCCGCACTCAGCAATATTCCAGCTATATGACGGCGGTCTGTAAATAATCGAGTCTGGACCAGACAATCCAGTGATTAATATCAAGAGCATCGATCCACGCAATTGGATCGATGACATGCAGCAACCAAGTCAGGGAGCCTGACCACCCGATCCCGTTGGTCGCCTTTTACGGCAAGCATGGGTTGCTGAAGACCTATTCTTCCCCGGAATCTTCGTGGGTCCCAGACCTAAATGGTCAAGTTTAGTTACCAGTCCTGTTTTTATGAGAGAGAGAGTTACGTTCAGGGTGAATCAGGGATTTGAACTTATGATCAGAGGATCAAGGGACACCACTCTGCACAGTGAATTACACTTCCTTAGATTGCAGGGCCACTTCTGCAACTAAAATCAGTATGTAATGTCTAGACAACTTTTGAAAATCCACATGAAACTATAGTTTATTTTCATTTGATTTTCATTTGCCATGCAAAACATATTGCCATATAATCATGCTTGTGTTGCCCGAATGAAAGCTTGTACCTCTCGTGGGAATCTAGGCAGCATCTGTTTGGACATCTGTACCAAGTTAACAGCTGCTTCATTTCTACACTGCAACATTTCCTAAAATAGATTGTTCTTTGTAAACATCAACTCTTTTTCTGAAATAGATTTTTATCCCATTACAGTACCAACACTTTTCATTTATTTACACTAACATGATAGAAATGCTTATAACCTAAACACTGATAAATCATTCATCTTAATACTGTTCACATACACATTACTACTTAGCTAGTCATTAATTTTACATAAACTGATCTATACATTATTAAAAGAAGACTTTGTAATTGTAACTTCCAATATCTGGGATCCTTGACCACTTCTGCCTTATAGCACAGTCACTGAAGACTATATCACCCACCACTTCTGCCTTATAGCACAGTCACTGAAGACTATATCACCCACCACTTCTGCCTTATAGCACAGCAGTTTAAACATGTCCTTCTCTATTTCCGCCCTCTGTCTCTCCATCACATCACTTCCGCCACCAGTTTCATTCTTCCGCTCTATCACAATGGAATGCAGCTTCTGGGCACACTTTTATTAACAGAGAAAAGTTTTCTATTGGTGATCAAAACATAAACTTGAAGCTGAACTATTTGTGTGCACGTACAATTCATCCAATTATATTTCGTCTTTACAAACCTCCACTGATGCCATCCTATTGTTTTCAAATTGAGTAAACTCTTATAAAAGGTGATTTTATTTATACAACTTCCAGTGATATTGTAACATGTGGATGTCTCTCACTACAGATTTATTTCGCATTTGAACACAATGGCACGTAATGGAATGTACAGAATGATGGATATTCAAATGACAAATGTTTCCTTTATAATTCTGGAATCAAACTTGCAACCTTGATATCAGTACCCTAGTGAGTGAACCACTAGGCTCTCGAGGCGCGGATAAATCACAATTGACAAAGGTGGGCTCATATTAAATACTTATTTAAGTTTTTCAGAGACTGAGTGGACGTGAACAAACTTAGTTTAAACGTTGGTGAAGGTAAAAAAACTTGAAAAGAGTAACAGGGAAATCATATACAAATCTGCGCTGCTGTCTTCTATAAATGTACACAAGAAAATATGGACTGTCATGTACATTTTAGGTCTCTGTAGGTGCGCTTATAAAGATTTCTTACAGACTGGTCTAGAAGTTGACTAGGGAGCGCATATTGAAGCAGGGCACCCAGTACTGTGAATAAGGTATCAGGGATTTATATAGGAATACAAACTGAATGCCCTTGGCAGGCAATTTGAGGAAATAATAATAAAAGAATTTCAGAGATAATTCAACGATGTATTTTGTATATAAATGTATAAAATAATCATTTTAGCACTGCATTCCATGCAATACATCAAAATTAAAGTGAAAGCCTCTCTCTCTTTATTGGTCCTGTTATCTGGGAAATACAAGTCACTGTCACCAAGCTATCACACCAATTATTAACATCAACTGGGTTTTTCCTGACATTTGTTGCAGATTTGGAGCCGAATATCAGCCTCTGAGCAGATCTAGCTAAATCCATAGGTATATATATATATATATATATATGTGAGGGTCCACCGACAACAAATAAGGGACCCCTCTTGCCGGTGTATCCCACTCAGTCAACACATTGATCAGTGTGCCGGGAATAAAACACCAAATTTTGTGATATTCCCGTTTTACAAATGTGACAATGATGCATTGAGAAAGATAAAAGAAAGTTATGTTATTAATACTTTCAAACCAAAATTAAATGGACTGAAATAATTGAATTATTTTATACAATTACAACGTATTGTACATTTTACTGCCACTACAATACTTATTTCTGTATGTGTCCTACGCCTGCCCTATCGTCTTACGCCTGTCTTATTGTGACGTCACAAAGTTAGATTGCACTATGACGTCATACTTTGTTAGAGTGCACTGGATGTCAAAACAGCATAACGGTATAACTGTACCCTTGAAAATCACATGCGTGAAACCGGTTGAGTAAATGATACAGCTCATCTTTGGACTTTTGTATTTTATCTATCTATCTATCTATCTATCTATCTATCTATCTATCTATCTATCTATCTATCTATCTATCTATCTATCTATCTATCTATCTATCTATCTATTACTGTATTGTTTTGTATCTCATGATGTATTCATAGTGTTCCACAGTGTATTGTGATGCACCAAATGCTACATTGCTACACCCCTTGTTCTGAAAAAACAAATCAACAATTCAATGATGTTGGATCCTATTTTTCTTTGTAATTTTCTTTTTTCCATTCAAGTTGAATCTGTGATTTACAATGCTATTTCAAACCCCCTTGCCCATGATCTGAAATATAAACCACAGTACCTGATTTGATATATTCAAAACAATTTCAGCTTGTTCGGGTTGACATGCATCTGCAATGTACCATTGAAGGTATGTAAAGAAAACAAACATAAAACACATTGTACCAAAACGTCAGATGAACACTTGAATGATTTTCTAAAACATATTTATCAATAATATTCTGTTGTAGATTCAAAACTCTCTCTTCCTTAGAAGATTAACAGTTTCCTGGTGCTAATTTTGCAGCGGTAGAAATTAACATTTTAGTCCACTAGTCTTTATAATGATAATATGTAGCAAAATCCTTTAAAATGTCAAATTTCTACTCGTCATTATGATACCTTAACTATTGGGCAGTTTGGTAAGAACTACAGGACTAGTGCCAATTTCTAGCGCTGTGTTGGCTGACGATTGACGCCAAGGGCTTTCAAAACACTAGTTGTATTTACAAAAATATGTACACAAATTCAAAATTCTGTCTACCATTTGTTATTTTCTTTACACAAATTTGGGTGTAATGTCTTGTTTTGTCATTCCCAATTATAGATTTGAAAGGCAAGGAAACTTTCAGGTGAACTTATCTGAACTGGGCTACCCAGGTAATATTTCCAAATTCATACCTATCCATGCTCTTCCTGTTTTCATCCCCATCTGTGAAAGAGAAATAAATGTCATTTAATTCTGAAAATTATACACTGTTTTAAGAGTGGCATACCTTACTGGCTGCCTGTCCTTTCTGTTGCATCTAGCTCAAGTCTACCACATTTTCGGCTGTGCTTGTATTGATAGCCAAGGATAATCTACTTTAGATAGCTAGGAAAGTCAGTGAAATGTATTGGCATATTTTAGTGATCAGGAGAAACAAAATAATTTAATACTAAAGCTATTTTATGGCATGTGAAGAGAGAGAATAATTGTGACAAGCACTCATAAAATATACATGTACCTCCTGCAGATCAAACAAACATATATGCTGGCACAACATCAGTAAAAGCAGTAATATTTAATATCTATTAAGAAGAAATAATTTGTCTTAAGAAGTTAGAATATCAATATATTTAGATGATAGAGACCTTCATACTAACCACAATTTGTTTTTTCAGGGTGTCTTCATCCAGAACTCCTTGGTTGGCAAATGCTACTATCATGAAGGACAAGTGCCTCACTGGAATGAATGAAGTCAGGGAGTGAATGGTGTTGCATATCACTATTTTCAGCAATATTTCAGCTAGTACTGAAATGAAAATCGCCAACATCATCAAAAGGCATGTGAACGGCTCATTTTATTAAACAGCATTTTCTGCATGCTAGGAGAGATTTTAGTCATTGGCTACAGTGTTTCAAATAACATGAAATTTCTTCAAGTCAGTGAAACATTGAGTTTTACACTGGTTTAAACAATATTCCAGTTTTATTACAGAAAGTGACACCAAAGTGGGCTGCACATATTGTACCCATGTTGAATCAAACCTGGATCTTCAGGCTGATGAGCCAATGATGTCACCCCACCACCCCTGCTGCGACACGCATAAATCTACATGATTATCATCTTAAATTGTATCAACATGTTCTTTTTTGCCTAATGAAAATTTGATATTTAGTATCATCACAATTTACCTTGATACATGAACACACTACATTGTAATTAATAATGGTAGAAACCTTACATTTGGCATTGGTAACAGTGGACAGAGACCCTTTCGTCTTCAGCCCAACAGCATGGTTCCACAAAGACACTCCGCAAGTTTCAAGCTGAAATGTACCCTAATGATTATATTATTAATTGTATTATACACTGTAAACACAGAAGGTATGTATGCACTACAAAATGAAAATAATGACATTCATACTGACACATTAGTTCAGTCTGCCGCTTCTGAACAAGCTCCAAGCTTGCGTCTACTAGCAGTTCTACTTCAAGTGTATTTAGATCCAATTACACTGGTCCATACACTATACATAAACTGAAAATAATGCCAAAATACATGTTAAGGCTAGTAGACTCCTGGCACAGACAGAGTGTGCAGCATTTGAAATTAAAGGGTGGCCTGGGGCCCTTCTCCTATGGTATTTTGAATCTAGGGTTCCCTAAATCTTCAACTTTTAACATGAGGTTCATGCATAATTTCGAATCACTGTGTGTGTCAGTACTGATGTCTGTGTATGGTGATAAAAGACCCATCATTTAATATTGTTGTGGAGACATGGTACTTTTGTTAGAGACAATTGTCGTTGCTTTAAAACACGCAATTTGTTTCTGTGAAAAGAGCCAAACAGTTTAGGAGACAAACTATTTTTATAATTATTATTTTTGACAGAACATCAAAATATCTGCCCCAGGGTCGTACCTTGACCAACAAAACTAGGAGTCCAGGGGACCCCCAATTACTAATTTCAAGGGGTCCTTACAGAAAATATGTTGGTCTTGTAAAGACATGAAATGGTGTAGTGTACTGTACTGGAAGATTTGATAATTACTTTAATACCTTAATATCTTTGTCAAGAATCTGGGACCATAAATATTATTATGCATCCCTTGGGATGCAATATTTGTGATTCTGCATCCATTCTTTACATTTGTGCAAACTGGATGCACATTTCTGGTTGTTTAAAACCCTGCTTCCCCCAAAATAAGCTCAATTTGAAGAGCTTCACATAAAGAAAATTAATTGGGTACCTACAGTTATGCATTTTGTCTTTTCAATTCCACCAAGATAATCTGAATGGAGGCTACTAATCAGTCTCAGTGCTTCATCCAGCAGCTTCAACCACACCCCATCATCTGTATTCTCTTTTTCCAATATGCTGCCAACTATCTCTGTAAAATTGGATGACATTTGATTACAAACTGTTTGCTCCAGTAAGCTCAGCCAATAATAGTCCACATTTTCACTCCACTAGTCCTTATAATAATAACATATAGCAAAACTATTAATAATGACAAATTTCTACAAGTCCTAAAGGACTACTGCCAATTTCTAACACCACACATGATAACATCATAATTGACTGAAAATGAGGTTTGGACTGACAGACTCAAAAGTGGATCAGACTGTGATTACATTGTGTCATTTATTATCATAATGTACTTAACATTTAGCTTCTAACTGTAGACCTAATTATTCCAGATAAAAACACAGCTATTGATCAATGACTTACCTCTAAAAGTATCTTTTTTAGATAGTTGGATAAAGACAACTGTTTATAAAAAACATATTAAAGATTTTATGCATTGTCACTCACGTATGATTTCTTCAGCAGTGTTTGACATGTCCGTTAACTGAAAATAGATCTGATAAAACATATGACCTCATTCTTTGGAGAAGAAAATGTTTCTAAGAGACTGAGGCATAGGCTAATTAATAAAAGACCTAAAGATGTGTTGAATATTGCAAGAACTACACAAGAAATCGGATTGAAACTTTCCTCTCAGGATTGGAAATTGATGTACTAATAAACTAATGATTACAAAGCTACACACATCAACAACACTTCTCTGACATACGCACATTCCAGCTGGCAATGAACATAGCAGGGCAAGACAGTTTTGTTGAGACGATGATGCCATTGATGCAAATGACATGTCAAAATGTTACCGTCAATCACAGACGGCTTGAACCAACATACATATACACCACATGTACATAAAACCACATCATGTCATAGTAACAGAAAGACATTTTCATTTACAGGTTATTTCACATATTATATAGCATGCCTAAGTGTTACGCACTGTGATAGACTGACATTTTTATTGACTTCCTTGTATTAATTTGTTCTTTGATAGTTTGAACAGTGTGTCAGACTACGTTTTACTGCTTGATGTAATTGTGTATCCCGCAAAACAAACGCATCCTAAACCACCGTTATTTGACATCATCGTGTAATAAATTACCTTTACAATCAAATGATTTCATTCAACCACAGACGATCGTATTTAGCGCCTCTGTAACTTGCCCTACTGCGCATGTACAACAGGTGCGAGACTACACTTCCGGTTCCGTATGTCATAAACTTACGCGTTAATATATTTTTCTTATGTTTACTCACATTGCATATGATTAACTCTAGTCACGTTTTTCAAACTTCAACATCAGACATTTGGGAGTTGTATTTAGTTGTTACTGGAAGTAATAATGTCCTTGAACTTGACCAATGACCTTTGGGCTAGGTCACCGAGAGCAGACGAAAATATTTTGACTGGCACCTTCTGGATGTCTAAACTTTATTTTACCTCCCACTGCGTTACAAGCTTCTTAAGGTTTTCTATAAATAATGTCTGTTTAATCCGTTATCGTATCGGTATTACTACATTCAATAGTGTTTTTATGATTTCTTACACTAACAGTCTTTGTTTTCTATGATGTTGATGTTTGCAGAGCTAAAATTTCAGTCTGAAGGAAAATGGCAGAAGAAAGTTACAGTCTTGATACTAGCCTGCGTCATGGAGAACGCCAACAGAATACGATTTATCAGGTATTATCAATTACAGAAATAAGCACAACCCTGTTGAATGAAGGCCACTTTCAATCGCTGTGCTTGTTGAATAGTGTAATATTGATGACATCACTTGACGGTCTGTCCAACTCAAGGCATAGGCCTATTTGAGTATTATCATTAACGAGCACATGAAGTAATTCATGGCTTTCCTGATATTTTCTTTTTTCTCAAATTGGTAAGTTCTGTAAAAAGTTCATTATTTGAATGAAAATGCTGTTTTGAGGCATATGGCTACTGTTCATTTGCCAATTAAAATGTATCCAAATAGCTTGCTTATTGATTCTAGTTGTGAGTGTGCTGACAACTTGGCTACCCCATCAGAAATATCTTCTAATTTAGACGTTTTAAACTGCATTTGGGAAAGTTAAAGAACCAGGAGCTGGACAAATAAGAATATCAGTTTTGGTTCATTTGCATCTTATTTTATATTATTTATTTGTCGATAATGATAATTTCTCTGTGTATCAGTTTACTGAAAGAGAGATTAATAAGACTATGCAGTTTTCAATTACAAATGGAGTCATGATGTGTTTGCTGAATGACATCCCTTACAGTGTTAAAAAATATAAGGGATACCAATGTTATGGAGATTTTTTGTTAAATTATTTTAATCTAAGTACTCTAAATATTATTTTTTAAACACAACAGTTATGATAGGAACATGTTGACTTTCATACCTAATTGTGAAGTTTAATTAGGCATTTGTGTAGCATTAAGTGTCTACTTTCTGTTATACATACGATAATAAATGTCATAGTAATTTTTTAACCTTCATACATTTTGCTTATAGGTCTCCATGATATATTCTGGTATTGTAATTGATTTCTCATATTACAAATTTAAAAGTAGTGTGATTCATGATATATTAAAACAGTCATGATATACATAAACATTAAACAGTCTATTTATCAGTCCAAGACTTGTAAAGTTTAGGAAAGACAAGTGACCTTTCCTTGTGGACTACCACTTTTACCATGAGATAAGTGACAACTCTGCGACAGATCATTTTTGCTGACTAGTCAAAATAAAAAGTTTAGGAAAGACAAGTGACCTTTGCTTGTGGACTACCACTTTTACCATGAGATAAGTGACAACTCTTTGGCAGATCATTTTTGCTGACTTGTCAAAATAAAATATAAGTTTTATTACTGAATATTAATTTTGTTTAGAATTGAGAATACAGTCTAATGTTCATTCTTACTGTCATGTTCAGAAAGAGTCATCCCTTTTACCTGACCAACAAGAAGTTCCAGAAATCATCGAGGTTATGAATTCTTCTTGTGATGTTGAGTTTGACAATGATATGGGCTACTCCAGCCATGACAGTAGTTGTCTTCAAGAGGAAGGTTCTGACAAATCCTGGAGACAGAATCCTCAAGGTGCCTCAAAGGATGTGAGCTGTGAGGACTCTCCATCTAAGCCTATCATCGATTGGAGCTACAATGAAGATGACAGCATGCAAGGAGTGGATGAAGTGGAGGACCTTCTCTATCATTTTGGTATGACATTTGACAAATTCAATACTCTACAATTGTTTTTGTTTTTTCTATCCATTACTCCACAAAGGGCAGATATTAAGCTTCATTATGAGGAATTGACATGTTCTAATTGCTTAATTTAAGTCAGAGGCTTCTTATAAATTAATTTGTGATATTAAATTTGTGATATTAAATTTCTTAAAAGAGTACAAAAACCATTGGGATACAGTGTTTGAAATTAAGAATGAAAGTCAAGGGGTCGTTCGTCACCCCAAAGTGAAAACTTCAAGTTCTTGGGGGCCCCTAATTTGAAATACTATAGGAGCAAACATCAAGAACTCAAGGACCTCCTTTAATATTTTTAACACTGGATTATCAAGGACTTAAAGATGTGTTTAAAGAGGAGTACAAATATGTCATTTGTCTGAAAGAGTACTTCCGTATAGCTTTTTTGTCTCAAAGAAAACAGACAATATCATAGTGACTTTTTCCATTTCATGTCTGTAAGGGTGCTTTTTTTGTCTTTATCTTTTCAGAAAAGTTTTTCAGAGAAAAGCTTGAGCATCATGTCAAGGACTTTACATCATCTATGCAAGATATGTTTTCTGAGCAACAGAGCCATGTACGGCAAATTGTTAATTCAACATCTCATGGTGATGGGTACCAGGTACAATCATCCACATATAATTAATTTGATGACTTTTGTTACCATATCAAAATAAATGCAAATGCAAATGCTGAATGTTTTCTCGAAGGGATCTATTATCATAGCTAAACATTCATTTTAAAAAGTAGTATTTGGGGTAAAAATATTCCAAATGATGTTGGTCCATGTTTAACTTGAAAATATCAGAAACCCTTAATCTTCAGTAACTTTTCAGACGAAAATGATTGTTAATAACATATTTATGTAAAGATAGACTGATGTGTATGAAAGCAGTTGTGACATACATGCACTTACATATGTGTATCTCTGCTTTAGGATGGAGATTTACTTACTGAACTTGAGGAACAAGGTTTGTCATATCTGTACATCCTGTGTGAGTCGTGTTGTGTGAATGAATGAATGACTCCTATAGAAATGAGTTAAACATTGATCAACTGAAAACTAGGATGCATTAATCAAAAGACCTGAACCTTTTTTGAAGTTACAATTCAGCATTGTTAACTCCTCAAACTTAGGTCAATACCTACCTTCAGATTTCTGAGAAATAATTCAAACACTCCTTACTGGTTGGTATATCATAAATTATGCTATTTTGTATTGATCTGCTAATTTACATAGCTGTTGGTTAACGTCCTGTAAATCTTTCCCAAATTGTTCTTTGCTGCAGATGTGACATTGAAACCTGCTTCAGATGTACTGGATATATAGTAAGTTTGACTGGGCAAGTATATATGTTCCTAAACCTAGGTAGGATTACTCCTTTATATGTGTTAATGAAATCCTTTGGGTATTTAACACTTTAAAATCACATGACATAGCTTGAAACCGAAGGAACACGGTGAGAAAACACGAAAGATTGCATGCACAAAAGCTTGGCTGTGGTACGTCATCCTTATATAGACCCGTCCTTGTTATGGAAAAGTTATTATTTGGTTCTATTGTTCTTAATCTTCTTTCCAAAAGTTTGATTTTTATTTTTTTTCTTCCTTCTGTTGTTTTTCTTTTTTGTTGTTGTGCAAATAGAGTTTCACATTCTTGGGTGTTCATCTTTTTGTTGCTTTCATGTCTCAAAAATTGAAAATTATGAAGAGGTTGTAAAGTATCCGGAATAAATGACATTAATGATATTAATCCATCAGTTGTTCACTTGTTTTCCAGCAATGAGGGAAGGGAGTTACTATTGAACAGTGATGTTAGAACTCAGCTCCTTATTGAACTCCTTTCCCTGTCATGTGATTTGTCATCATTACTACACCAAGACAAGTTCAGAGCCTAATTCCACAGGTGTAACAAATATATCAGTGAGTATTGTTTCATAGGTTATTGAATAAACCAGTGTCTTTCTGGGTGAGTTTGGCTTTAGTTTTCGGTAGTATTCCAGCATTACCATGGGAGGGGACATCAGTTATTGGGTTCACACACTGGGATTTGAACCCAGATCTTCGGTGACAAGGACAATTTTATAACCAGACTACTGATCAACCCCCACAATAGCTTAGCCTAGTGTGATTTAGTGTGATGTTATCATACATCGGATACAGATTCATTTGTTCATTCAAATTAAAATGTTACCGTAAAGTGTTACATGTGGAAATTGGCAATCATCCTCTCATTATCCCCAGCACAGGGATATATTCCAACATTCCAAATGTTTACTTTGAGTTAACAAACAAGTGGGCCAGAGGTGCAGTCTTTTGTATTTTGTACTGTATCTTTTGGTATCTACAGAATAAAATCTAGATAATACTTTTCAAGAATGAGCAAATATGTCACCGATACGTAATTCTAAACAAATGCAATGTCATATACTTGATTATGCAATGTGTCTTTAGAATTTAATTACTCTAAATGATTTTTAAGATAAAAGTGTCTGATCTTGTATTTTAGGATATATACCAGCTATTATTATGGGAGAGTACATCAGTTTCATTAGCATCATATACACAGTCTTGATGGATTTCATACTGTAAACAATAACTCTCCTGTAAAGCATTGATGAGACAAATTGTAAGCTTTCTTCTTAAGTAATTTTAGTTCTTTAAATAAAAATTCCTATGTACTTTCAGCATCAAAGCACTTATATCATCTGGTATAGGTGGTCGTTACAATAGAAGTTGTCGAAGAATGCACTTCATTGTCACTTCAAGTTAATAACTTGGTTGAGACATGCATGTTGATGGTATCCCAGTTGCATAGATTGATTATCATGATGTCAATCACTGGAATGTTTGGACAGGATTGATTATTTACAGATCGCCTTCATATAGCTGGAGCTGTGTGCGTCTTAAACAACAAACAAACAAATCTTACAGGTTAACATACACGGTCACGATGAATAGTGTGAAGCTAACGTACAATCTTCAACTTATTTCAGTCCGGCGCAACAACCACAGCTCACTGCATCATTTAGGTGGCAAGTTTCAAGATGTGTTTTAACTGGACGATCTTGTCACCGATGTAATAAAGGGAATATCAATCAGTATTAGTTCAGCTTACCCTGCGAACTGTAACTTAAAAGTTATTGTGGCAACAAAAAGTAGATCTGATTCATACAGGCAGCAAGGCACTGTAATTCTAAATACACTGTCATATGTGTGTATTATAAAATTAGAGACTTGGGATCGCGTTCTAATAAACTGCCTCCCATAAGAGTTTATACACTTGAAAATTGAATATGACGAAAAAATTAGGAACGTTAACAAAACGTTAGTATACTGAAAACAGTCGCCGAAACACAACTATGATACAGTATCAAATACATCACCATCGAGTAACCATTACATGTTTGTTTCGTTTTAGCCACAAACATGGGTGTATAAATATTTATTAAACATTTTTTTATTAAACATTTTTCAACATGAAATAAAACCACGAATCAAATGTAATTTATTGCAGGCAAAATCCCACAAATGGAACGTTGGACACAAATATATTTGAACTCCTTGATCGTTTTTGTCAGTAGCTAAGTCTTTTCGGACCTCAGAAAATTTTCCAACGTGATTTGTTTTTTTTTAGTTGTGAAATACAAAAATCATTGATGGAGATAAACACGAACAACAACATATTCAAATGCGAAAATTATCACTGCCCAGCACCAATACCATTAGTAGTTGGTTGGTTGGTTGTTTAACGCCGCACTCAGCAATATTACAGCTATATGACGGCGGTCTGTAAATAATCGAGTCTGGACCAGACAATCCAGTGATTGACACCAAGAGCCTCGATCCACCCAATTAGGATGATGACATGCATCAACCAAGTCAGCGAGCCTGACCACCCGATCCCGTTAGTCGCCTTTTACCATTAGTACAAGACGGTGGCATGCACATATTTTTGGTTTTCCAAGATGAATAAAGACTACACAATCGTGATTTCTTTATGTGATCTTTACGTTCTTAACCGTATTCAAACAGTTAGATTATTCGTAAGATAGTAATAATGTTCGATTCACAGTAGTTATTGGCAGTAACACAGTACAAAATCATCCTAGCTGTCCTGTGTTTATATCACCAATAATGTGTTTCTATCCAGCGACAACACGTATACATGACTTTTTTGTGTGTGAATGAACATGGGTGGTCAGATGTATATATAACTATTGTAAAACATTGACTGCGGTCTGGATGTGTCATATCGTCGTGGAATGAAATTTAAGGGCATGAAAAGAAAGCAATGAAACTTACCCCGAATATAATAATTCAGAGGACAAAATGTACTTCACTTTACTTGCACTTGCATCATTTATACTAAAAATCCCCAACAGTTAACAGTGAGCATTTTGGGTGGTGTATATTCAGTTCTTTTAGAGTCCTCGTTTGAAGATTTACGCGGCTGGAATTGTGCAAAGACGTGTTGTGTATTTCAGAATAAAAAATAAATTACAACGATTTTAGAGAAAAGTGCTCCTTAATACCCTAGAATTGTCTCTACAGTTCTATTAACCCAGAGGGCGACAGGATAAGGTTGTGGTGTATTTTATAGGCATATCTACACATGTGACTATCTTGGTAGGTACGACCACATCATTCCATTTTTATTTCATATCTGTTGGTTATTTTTATGGCAGTCTATTTGTATGTTTAGCAGCCGCGAAAGGTAATCCAAATAAAGATTATTCAAGGTATTTTCGAATCTGCTGGTTATTTTTATTGCAGTATATTTGTAGATCTAGTTTTGACAGCCGCTACATTTGGTTGTCAAACTGTCGATACTGTCGATACTTTGTTGTTTGATACAGGTTGTTAATCTGTTTAAAGTACTTCAACTAGATCTAGTTTTAAATGCAATTCAGTGACACGCCACTGTTTTTTCACTGGTCGTCGAAAGGTTTTTATATCATTAACGTTTAAAATGTTCATTTGTCCTATCTTTGTTCCGAAAAGTCTCTGTTGTTCTTCGTTACAGTTTTGTAGATGTTTCATCATTAACATAATATTCGCTTCAAAAGGTATTAAGTTTTGATGCTACAAGTATTTTTCTTATCGTAAAAGCCTCAAGGCTATCGCACTATGCTTGTGTGAGAAATTCCCATCAGCTGGCAGTACACGGACAAAAACGTATACGCATTTTTGGCGGCATAAATCTGTGCGTGCAACACGCGCCAACTTACTGTTATGATTTGCCAATGTCACGTTAGCTGCGAGAGAAACTAGGACGAGCTCGGAGCGAGGAAGTTTCCCGTCTGCGCAGATATCGACTGCGCACATGCGCATGATATCACCACCACATGTATGCAAATCACCCGTGACAACAAATACGTCATCAGGTCTCCCCAAGATCTGGAGCGAGGTAGTAGAGTAAAGTAATGGCCGTATGGTATGTTGGATGATAGCTCACTAGCCAGCATTAGGATACCATATTACATCGCAGATTGGAGTGTCAGTGACTGTTGGCAGTTCCATTATACGAGCCTATGGATGTTTAACTTTGTCTGAAGTGTGGAATATGCGGGCTGAAGACGAATACCGTGGTGTGTTCTAGATATTAAGTGTTACGTTCATTTGCAAAACGCAAGATGGACGCTGCAGACATAGATCCTAATTTCGAGCCTCAAACTAGGGCAAGATCTAACACCTGGCCTCTTCGACCTAATCGGGAGATTCTTGATGCCCAGAATAGCCCCGTATCAGAGGATTCTTCCACTGAAAATCACAAGGAAAAAGATCCACTCGGATTAAACACTAAAAAGAGTGGGTCAAGACGAAATGCGTGGGGAAACTTATCATATGCGGATTTGATAACGAAAGCTATCCAAAGTTCACCTGAAAAGCGTTTGACTCTATCTCAAATATACGACTGGATGGTACAGAATGTTCCTTATTTCAAAGATAAAGGCGACAGTACGAGCTCAGCTGGTTGGAAGGTTAGTTTTATGTGCAATATTATCCGACCTAATTAGCAAACGTAAGATTGTGAAGGTTTGCAAGGAGGTCAGTGACTCTTTCACTGTATATGATGAGAATATGTTAGTGACAGTTATAGTCAGATATACTAAAACACCAGTAGCGTACATTCTGTCACCACTGCTTCCGATTTGGGGGATGTGCGTCACTTTTCAGGTTCCGTATTATGTTAAAGGTCACGTCTTGCAGGACACGAGTTTACGTGAGTAGAATGTTTGCAGAGAACGCCCCTCGCTCGCTGCAGGTCTCCTCAAACGCTTAAAATTAACTCTTCCCTTTGTAAAGACAACTCTTGAAGTTTATAATTGATCGTTTGTCACACCCAGTAGTTAACTGATTATGTCACTACAGTTACACTGATCAAGTCGTCGGAGATAATCTGTTCAGACTGTCACCTACTCACAGCCCGTTAATTAACCGTGACAGATAACAATTAATGTGTGATTTCAGTTGTGTGATCAGTTCGTTACATCAACCGCACGAGCTAACGGGATCTTTACGATTTGGAAGCTAACGTGGAAATTCCCATCTCTTTGTTTACAAACATTGGCGTGAATAAGTCACGTGGGTTCCCAATGTATACAATGTAGTAATTGTAAGCAAACATTACAACATAGACTAACAGTTAGAAACACTTATTGTGTCAAGTTATCCTACACTTTGTTGCTAGTCCCGTTCCAAGATATAACATGTGAAAGCATGATTGTTTGATGAACCTGTGTCATAATTATGGACTGAAATGTAAGGGCTGTTGACATCCTTTTTTTCCACCTCTCACTCAACTCTAAGCTGCTCTAACCTACATTTATACAATATGTAATATGATAGTTTATCATAGCACTAACTTGTCAGAATGAGTCATCCCATCTGTCCCACTGCTTTGAATTTCAATGTTTTAG